TGTAGCTGGAGCTCCCTGGGAAGTGTCATCTAAACCTCTTACTGCGACAGAAGTTCGATCTTACATCCGAGCTCTGAAGGAAGGAAAAAGGACGGGATCAGACGGGCTTTCTCCCACCATGGTGGTAGTGGCGCAGTGGTTTAGTCTCTGTCACTGTCGTACTTTGGGCCCTATGATTCGAGCCCTGCCACCCAACTTTGGTGGTAGGTAGCTGTGCTGTCGTCCGGTTCAACAGCACGCCTTATGTGTTTCGCCACTCCAAATCCCGGGGCTTAGGCCAGCTTCCATGACGGAGCAGTAGGTCTTTGTAACAATGGATTCGCTGCTGTTCACCACCCAAAATGTGTGTAATAAAATAATCTTACTGATTTAATGCGTAACATGTGGTCATATGAATGCATTCCATCATCCTGGAGTGAAACACCGATTGTTCCAATTTTTAAGAAGGAATCTCGTAATGATCACGCAAACCACCGTGGAATAAGTTTGACCCCAGTCGTCACCAAGTTACTAGCCTCCATACTTCGACATCTGACACCCTTTAGGGAGACAGATATCCGCGAACAACTAGCAGGATTTCGACCAGGCCTCGGTTGTACCGATTCCATCTTCACTCTGCGTCAAGTTCTCAAGCTAAGCCATACGCACCGTCGACCGACGGTTGTCGTGTTCCTTGACTTAAAACGAGCCTGCAGCTCAGTTGATCGTGAACCTCTTATGTGTTCGCTCCTTCGCGAAAGAATACCGCAGAAGTACGTGCAAGTACTGAGTTCATTCTACTCGTATGCCTCTGGTAGCGTAAGGGTCTACAGCGAGCCGAGTAGGTCGTTCGCAACTAGCAGCGATGTTCGTCAAGGATGCCCTCTTTCACCATTCCTAATTAATTTCGTCGTAGACGAAATATTGGAGAACGCACTAAGTGGTCTCTAAAATGTAGGTATGTAGTATACGTGAAAAGCAATGTTGCAAGACTGGATGTCGCCGAGTTCTGTTCTGAAACTAGACGGTTAGGCATCAGCTGAAGTTGACTGCTTCTCTTACTTAGTTACCAACTTACTTACTTAGTTACTTAGTAACCAACGACGGTAGCGCATCAAAGGAGTTAACCTCCTGCATTTCCAAGGCTGGAGGAGCGTACGCATGACTTAAACACCTATGGCGGCGATGTGACGTTTCACTGGAGTCGCATATGCTGCACTGTTATATGATCACTTCGACCTTACTGGTTCTGAGACCTTGAGTTTACGGGTAGTAGATATCCGTCGCCTAGTGGTTTTCGACAATCGATGCTTACGTAGTCTGGCCCAAGTGTGATGTAGTGAGCGGGTTAGTAACTTAGAAGTAAGTCGTCGGGTGTTTGGGAATACCTCAAACAAGAACTCGCTATCGCATCTAATCCAGCTCAATACGCTTCGTTGGTTAGGACACGTGTTGCGTATTTCCGACGGTCGCTTACCGCAGCGCGCCTTATTCGCAGTGGCTATTGCAGGCTGGAGAAAGCCACGTGGAGGCCAGCAGATGACGTGGAGACGAGGCATGAATAAATGCACAGAACGATTAGGTAGGGTAGGTGTCTCCCGTTTTCCGGGTTGGGGTCCAAAAGATTCCGAAACCGCATGGTTGGAGACACTGAAGGTCATGGCTGCGAACCGACAGCAATGGCGATCATGCTGTCACTTCTTATCAGACCAGAATGCTTGAAATAGTATGTATGCACAGCTGAATTGTTTACTGTGTGCGTTGACCATAGAGGTTCACTTTTCCCGTCCCTAAGAATAGGTCCAATCCCGGTCCTCCTTACAAATTACCACTTACCTTGTATGCAATATGAGTTTGGCAGCGATCATTGGAGTTCGCTTCGCTGTATTACCCTGTACAACGATGCTGAATAAGACTACGTTTTATGGAGGCAAACTGTAGATCCCTAACTGGTATCACGCGTACCCTTGATGAGGAGAAAAGAATTTCCAAGTAATCTGAACGTATATTGAAAACGCGCATGTTTTTACCCCTTCCTTCTAGGCCAGCTGTTTGTCGCATTCAGATTGGAAAAAAGTTCGAACATTGGTTAAGGAGTTGACCGGATTGGTGAGTTCCCTAACAAACCCTATCACTTCCGGATCATCATCGTTTTATGTGCCGCTAATTTTAGAGAAATCAGATTGTTGTGGTCTCATCAGTCCTATAGTAATCCGCATATCATTTGATCATAGTTAGTTGTTTAATGTCAATGCAGGACAGCCGTGCGAAGGTGGTTGTTACGGTTTTGTAGTTATTGTGCAAGAAGAATGCTCTTAGATTCATGAAGGCGAACAAGTATAATGGTGTTTTTGTTGTTCTCAACACAAGGCATTCCAAACGAGATGATTATTTGTAACTGAAACACCGAAAGTTGACCAAAACTCACTTTTAAACGTTCATGAATTTGTTATTCTTCCATCGTAGGAAACGCTGACTGACTTTTGATTGTGTCCACAGGCATGAAAAGTAAAGGGGTTTTGCCGAGGCCAAGCGCAACTGGTCCCAGTCATCCAACTCTCTGTTGATTTCCTAATTGATTTCAAAGTCGGCATTCGTTAGCCATTGCCATCGCACCTTACTTCAGCTTTACTGGTCTTACTATAACTTGGCTGCCTAAACGTGGTTGCCCGTCTTAGTTATTTAAGTGTTAAGTACTTAAACGGTTAGAACGGGATTTGGCATACAGTGGCACCTTATCACATATGTCAATGAGAGAAAAATTCTTGAATGAAAGATAGGTGATAACAATGTCCTCGATTTTAGCTCACCACGGAGAAGAGTTAGACGGTTTTGTTTCCGATGGTCTGCAAAAGCTTGAACTAGGTAATCTCCACTGTCCGTCCGATCACCTGGAGTGTCATACGGGCCCCTCAACCGCCTCTTTGGTTTTCCATTTGTCCCATATAAATGTTGAAGTTGCCAGCGACTCTTACGACTACCCCGTTGAGTGAACACTTGGGAGCATTCAGGAAACAGGTCATAAACGAAATCATTCTTCATTTCAGGTGCACTGAAATCAGTCGGTGCATACGCGGACTCGAAGAATAAGCACAAATGTTTTGTTCTGTTGCCGTCGATCCATACCGAACTTTCAAAACGTACAGTGCTCATTTAAGTACTAACCAGAATCCAGCCAAGATGCGAGAACACTGCCTTGTTATTTAGGGCAATCCCGATGCCGGCAACACACGGGGACTGATGCCGACGGATGAGGTTGGGTCTAAGGAAATCTTTGTGATAACTTGAATACGATCTGGCATGTGTACTTTGAAGACAGATTGCATCCCAATTGAAAATTGCAAAGCACCTTGTTGGTGACGTGTAATAGAATATGCTTACACTGGATGCGGTTAAGATAGGTGTAGACTTCGGTTTTGTCAATCTCCTAACAAGTTTGTGGTTTTCACGCATTTCAGCTTCATACTGATCTAAAGAAGGGAATCTAATAAAACATCAAACCCACTGTACACTTTTTCAGTATCGAGAAAATTTGTTATTCTTGATCAGTGATGTGTGATGTAACTTGAGTGGTGATAGTCAACCAGTTCAAGTCGTTGTCACCGGCGTGCTTAGGGTTTGGGAGTCAAATCCCTCAATTTTCATTCGAATCAATACGAGGACTCATCCAGTGAGGCTTTAATTTTCTGTATTATACACGTTTGTGTGTTAGACGGAGTGGACCCCGTAGTTACGGAGACCTGCTGTCCAGTGACGGTAACCGGCAACTTAGGCCCCGGGACCTGGAGTGATTAACCACACAAGGCCGCTCCAGGTTGGGTTGGGTGTAGTATCGAATCGGACAACAGCACAACTGCATTCCCCCAAAGTTGTTAACCGCTCCAAGTTCTGGGAATTGAGTTGCCGGTTTTCACGATCTAATTGCAGGTCCACGTAACTTCAGGTTTATCCCGTCTGCTGTTCATCACACAAGATTCCGTAATACAGGAGGGTTAAAAAGTTTAGCTGATCGCGTAGTCGTTCCAGCGTTAGCCGCATCACCCCCATCTGGAACGCAAACACAATGAGTGACTCACTCTGGGATAAGAGATAACTGNCTGTCAGAGAACATTGTTTGCAGCGAAATATGATTAACTTCTGTTAGAAGATCGACTGTTTTACAAAATAATACCGGACATCAGTTCATCGCGTCTTTCTTCGACTTTCAGAACGTCTCCAGTTTTAAAGCTGGTTTTGCACCCTCAGAATTCAAAGAATTGATCGAAAATCTCCGCGCAGGTTCTGACGATTATGTAGTGTTTGTTCGTGGAAGTTCTGATGCACAGGTACGTATCTTCTTCCCTAACTACTGCCTTTTTAGAAAAAATGCTTGGGCTTAGCTCGAACCGAACTGGCACAGATGTTGCACCAGAAAGGTATGTTGGATCGATGTTTGATAGCTCAAAATTGAACTGTTGTTTCGCATTTTTAAAACTCGTCCGTTTCAGTTCTTACAACTAGTAACGATGCACTCTTATGCACCGGTTTTGTTTGCTGTCTTTTGACCGCCCATTTGGATAAAAGAGCAGAATGAAGGTTGGAATGTTGAGAACAAATTCAAGCGGGAAAGGGAGAATTCGTATAGACCGAGGTTACAAGAATAATGAGTAGATACATGAGCATCACTGTTTGTGACACAGCCGTATCGCCCAGTGTCTCTAACCATCGGTTCTCGTGACCTCGGGGCCCACAAACAAGGAGCCTAACGGGACTTATATAACCCAGTCTCCTGGTTAGAGTTTTCATACCCTCATGTCAAGTCTTCGTTTGACCGCGCTTGACCTTCTTCCATTTAGAAAACCATCTTTCTCATCTGTCCACGTTTTAAAACTTATTATGAATGCAAAATAACGGTCTTGTAGTTTTTGTTGTTGTTGTGATCATCGCAATACATATCGCCATGGATCTTTAAAGTAAAACTATTTTTCATTTGGTCGGTTGCTTCGGTTTGACCACAGGTAGTTTCCCTCCCATATTTCAGGTGGCAAGATATATAAACCCGGTCTCCATTTTCTCTGGGTTTATGATTTTCCGCTTTTTGAACGCGATGGTGAAACAGGTCAGTCAGTGTTCTGTGAGCGGTGTTACATGTTAACCTTCGTTTTTTGGTGATGACTGCTACTTTTGTTGAGTGAAACTTTAATTTATTTTTTTTCCACGCAACTCAAGGGGATACTTGACTTGCCAGTTTCGTTCGGCACTTTTTGGCCATTTTCGATTGTCTGACCGATAATAATCTCGTACTGGTCACGGCAAAAATTGGCACAGCATTTATTGTTGTTGTAACCAATTGCATAGAATTGGTAAATGTGCCACAACGTATGACCAAAAAATCGGTAGAATTTGTTCATAGGTTGTGTGGTTATGTTACTTCCCGGTTCCCTTGACCGAAGAAGGGAGATAACCTCGGAACCTCATCCGAAGTATTTTGCAGTCTGGCTTTCTAGCCAGACTGCAGGACAGTAGAACGGAGCTCAGAATTTGCAGTCCATTGGAGGCCGATGTTCAGTCCATCGGCTCATACACCGTTTGGATGGGGTCCAACGTCCAAAGTGCCCAATCGAGTCGGTGACCACTGCCACAACCAGGAAAGTATTGGTAAGTGTGGTTCATACGCTTCTTCTCGATCAGTTTAGAATCAGGGTTTTTAGCCAACTCCCCTAGGTGAACTGCTAGTAATTCACCAACCCCGTTATAACCTCAGATGTCGGCTTTTCGTCCTCTCGATTTGGTGGGAAAACACCTTCACGGGGAAGCATTGAGTAGGGCTTCCTTCCGTGGCGGCTGTTTGAAATGGATGGTCCTATGGGAGTATTTCATGATGTGTAAGGGAACAATGATCAGTCGTAACCCAAGACACCCATACCCGAACATATTGAGGCTTTTGCATGCCCTTCTGATGTCATAATGGATGACAGTACAATTATCTATATAGTCCATTCTTTCTTTGATTTTTTACGCTACATTTGTTCGACAAGAGTATGTGACATCCGCTTGACCAAATATTTGTGTTATTCAACCCTCTTTTGCATTATACACCATTGTGTACTTGTCAATAGAAGTGAAATACACATTCACAAGCCCCGAGTTTTCGATTGTAGAAACCCACAATCTGTGTTCTGGGACTTGAAATGGCGAACTACAGTGGCCTTCACTAATATTGGCTTGATAGTGAACCGAGTAAAAACAGATCTGAGAACACCCGTTCAGAGGGGAACAAGTGTCTCCATTGATTCATTTTCTATCCTTTACCAATCATATGAGAAACATACTAAAAGTGGAGCAGACATTCAGTCGCTCACAGTGATTGGTAGAGAAAGATGATTTAGTGTGTGGTACGACAAGCTCCGTATCGCGAGGTCACCACAACACTGCGGTCAGGTTTTTTATTACACACCTAGGTGTGATGAATAGCAAAAGGGCGAACCTCATAATCACGAGGACTTGCTGTTCAGTGGTTGAAATCAGCAACCTAAGCCCCAAACCACACCCCAGGACTTGGAGTGGCGAACCACATACGGTCCCGATACGTTCGATTGGTCTTTAGGCATTGCAGTTGGATGGCATGGGTCAGTTTCCCTTATGTCATTCGGTTGGCTGTGAACAAACGGATACCGATCGCTTCCGCAGCGACTAGGGTGTGGAGACGCAACGGTTTGAACGTGTGTGGTACTCAGCGGATAACCTTGAAGGCTTATTCAAGCATCATTTAATTGGAGTCTGCTAAGTGAACGAGAATAGCACTTCGTGTGACACTTTTTCCACCTNCCACCTTGTCGGTGTCTACGTGTACGGGGCTTTTTAATCAGCAGGGATTATTGCCTCGCCTTTCGTCCAATAGAGAGTATAGTGCATACACAGCTCAAAGATCAGATGACCATACAAGAGATCAACGTAGATAAACTGTCTACTAGCTATTCCCATCATTGGTGAGCTAGTAAATACGCATGAAAAAACTAGCCGCATTAAAGGTCAAGCCTCTGTGATCAAAGTGCTGGTTCGAACCCCTGACCTTAACATCGGGAACGTGCCATTGGAGAAGACTAAGTCCCATCCCAGTAATTCTTGACTAGGTCCTGATCCCTCTGAACTTAGGTCTTTTTTCTACTTACTACCTTCTGAACCAGATGGTTTGAATACTGTCACTAATGTTGCGATCAATCTCTGGATTCTTTTAGTTTTTAAATGTATATCTCCAATCACTTTCTGATAACCCGTGCTTGGTGGTTGAAGAGATACGCTGTTTTGGTTTCCTGTGTCTCTTCGTGCATAGGAGCTATATAGTGAACACATGCGCACAAATGCTCTGTCCCGAGTTCCTTGAAATTCCTGTCAGGAAGCAAACAGATATAGGTCAATTTTACCTAAATTAACATACGTTACGTTCTAGGTAACTCTTAGTGCAGCAGACACTCCACTTTGTTAGATTAAAGTGACCGGCTCTTTCCCACTTAGTGATTTGAACTAGAATACCAAAATCTCAGTTATTCTAGACCACCCAGTTTCCTGTGCATGTTGACCAAGAACGCAACCCCTCAATGGTCAGTTTAATTAGCGTCCATAATTTTCCACAGATTCTCTGTCCATCCTTGAATAGAGGAACAGGAAACGTTTACTTTTCTTTTTCTTTCAATTCCTTTTGTTGAATACATGATGATGCAATTTTGAGGAAGGGGGAAGCGACCAATCAGAAGGTTACGATACAGCAAACAGGGAGTGGAAAAGTTAGACGGTGGTGCAGGCATTCGAACGCACGTCGTCTAATTCGGCCACCACCGCCCTACGTAGTTCAGGTTTGCAGTATTTATCTTTCAAGGTCTTGATCTTGCTGAATCTGTAGTAGATGAAATGTTTCTTTCTAGTCAGGCGTTTTCAGTTTTAGGTTGCTTGCAGATCGAATTTCGTGTAAATTTAGTGATTAGTATCATTTGACTCACTGACTTATGTCAATGAACAGTTTAGTTGTCATCCGGTCTAATAGCACTCACATCTTATTTGGGGTCTGATATGGTTCCCCAATCTACTTATCGATGCAACTTCTCATAATTGATCATTTAGGCTGTGGTAATAACTCTTAATATTCATTGAACTATTCTGTACCATAATAACTCTCTGTGGTACTTAGTCTATGTTCTGTTAACAATGATCTATCCGTCGCTCCTTGTTGAATTCACTGATGTATACGAGCTATTCTGATAACCTAAGAAAGAAACTGCGTTATTCATTGAGCTGCATAGATCCGTCTAGGTAATTCGGCAACAATATCCCACGGACCGTTAATAA